AACTATGAATACATATTATTTTTTAATATAATCTAAAAAGCTTTCCTTTTTTTAATATCAAAAGGTGGCAAACGAGCGAGCGGCCACCTTAAATCGCTGAAGTAGCGAAGTGACCGTTGCCCATTGACATACACAATTGCATATGCGTTGCCTACCTTTAATCTTTAGTAGATAGTTCTAATATAACATAATATTAGTAAAAAATGGGAATATTACCACGGTTAAGCTGTTTGAGCTACTGACATTTATGTTTTTTTTATACTAATTGTTGTCCGCGACTCCATCCTATGTGTTCCTCCAAGCTATATTCTACATCTATGTTGAAAAAAAAACCGAACAAAACATTAATATTTTTATTTGTTTAAACTTTATTATTAGTCGTTAGTTTATGAACCAAAAATAAGTCTAACACACAGAATTGAATATTCATAATTTGAATATCGAATTCTAAAAACCTTTAGTTGATTTAGGTTCAAAGTTTATCGATAGAAGAACAATTTTACTTTATCGATGATCCAGACTTCAAAACTGTTATTACAATATAGACTAAGATAACTAATAAATAAATTTTATATACGTAAAACAAAACCTTCAATGAAAGCTACGTACAATAGCTTGAATATATCAACTTTTATTATTAAGAAAATAAAATTGGTAAGATTTTGATTACTATAATTATAGATAAAACAAACGATATAATTAATTTATATAAGTCCGAATTTAAAGTTCAACCTATAACATATAATTGTTACTAATATTATAAATGCGAATGTTTTGATGGATGGATGGATGTTTGAAGTTATCTCCACAACGGGTAAACGGATCTAATTGGCATACATATAGAACATAGGTTGGAAGAACACATACGCTACTAATTATATCTTTTTTAATTCCGCATGCACGAAGTCGCGGACAACAGCTAGTTTTATATAACATTAAAATAGAATATATCTCATATATTTATTTAGGTTACAAATATTGGTCTCCGTATCAAGGACGATAAACGGTATAATTGTGCTTTTATCGTGAATAATCCTCACGGCCGCGGCTTAGTCCTTGTTTGTTATAGAATCGAGTTACGAAGGAACAAGTAACTAAATGAGTAATTACTGTGACGCGAACTTGCGCGTACTTTGCTAATTTCACTGATTGACAACTTGGAAATTTGTTAGTGTATTTTAAATAAACAAAGAACATGTATTTTGAACGAAATTGCTTAAATATTGATTGACAATAGACAAAATAAAAATTTGCAAATGGAAACTAACGATTCCTAAATATTTATTTCTAAATGTTACTAATATTATAAATGCGAATATTAAGATGGATGGATGTTTGTTTGAAGGTATCTCCAGAGCGACTCAACGGATCACGATGACATTTGTTATTGATGAAGAACATAGTCTGTAAGAAGACATAGGCTACTTATTAAGTTTCTTTTTACTTACGCTAGTACGGAGTCGAGGGCGACCGCTAATATAAACTAAGGTTATTTGTTAATATTAAAACAGGATTACTTCCGCCAGATCAGTTAGGCCGAAATTTAGGTATCAATAACATGATAATCATTATTATACGTACAAAAGTACAAAACAGAAAGTTGTCGTTTTATGCCAGTTGGAATCACAGATTAAACCTCGACCTAACCGCAAGTCCAACGCGTAACAACTTCAAACATATTTTATTCTATAAATAAAGGTGTATTTACATTAAATTAAAAGATAAGAATTATTTCAATATTGTATAGACTACAGAGTGAAATACGAATCGAATAACACCACTCAATTTAAAATCGATCCAGCCATAGACAACATATATTAAGAAACTGACATTATTAAAGTATAAAATGTACGCGTAATTAAATTACCTTCCAGAAAAAGCCAAGTATATGACAACATATTTATCACAAAAGTATTTCTGCTTCACACATGAAAAGTACGAAATATCTTAAGGATTGAATAGCTCTTTGACAATTTGTAAGTTGAGATGTGTCGCCGTGTTACGTGCCAGTTAGGCAGCGGATAATGAAAATAAATTTACTCTGTGACCCGACGGTTACTTGTCAAGGGTACAGGTCAATCTAAGGGTCGGCTTCTACTGTCTACAGAATTGTATAAAAACATATTGTCATTCATCACATTCATTTTGAAAAAAAGAGGAATAATTTCTCGTTTTAACTTTGCTTTTTATCGCTTTATAACCTAACCTACAATTTATTTTTATTCCTATTGATGACGTATGAAATTAACTATACTTTTATATATTTATACTAACATAAATATAATCGAAGTTTGCTATTGTTTGAGTAGAGATGAAGAAAAAGTGCGCATTTTCGATGAGATGACGAGCCTTAACGTCTTTGTAGACCATTGTCGTAGTAACCGGTGACAACTGTTAAAAGTACATAACTATTTTCTTATGTTTTATTAAAATTAAGTTGGTTATAAAAATAGTAAAACGTATATTTTCATGGCTTAGTAGCTCTGCCGATATACAGACATTGCGACGCATTTCCTACATTCAAATCTCCAACAAATATTTTAAATAAAAATAATATTGTCTCCTGTACTGCTTCATTATTGCTTGACGTCGTAGTTTAGTTTTTACTTACTAAAGGCACCGAAAAATAAAACGTAATTAATTTCTTAAACCCAAATCCATTAAACATTTTCTTTTGTTTTAATTTAACTCTATCAAATATAAGTTTTTATTTTATTACGCCTTACGCAATTTAGTCCAGGAATTTTAGTGTATACGAAATAACAAACAGACCGTAACAATTTACTAAATTAAAATGATGTAATTGAAATTAATTACTCTTAAGTAATTAACTTTCATGAGTAAATCCTACAACAGCCTTATTTCTATATTGATCAAAGATTATACATAACTATAACCAACTATAAGTTAATTAAATTATAAATAATTGTTTGCGTCAAAATTAAACTTACCGGTTTTAGCGCTTTATTTCAATTTCTCCGAAATCAAACCGATACACTTGAAAACAAATAAGAAAATAAAATCTACACGTTTTTAAAAATAGAACACAAATATTAATGGAAACACTAATGCCACAACTTTTTAATACTTTTTTTATGTTTAAAAAAAAAGAATCGTAATAAATCAAAGATTAGTTCGGATTTGTGAACGGACGCGATTTTGAAATTCCCGGACGTGTGCTCCGAACAGTTTTTCAGACGGACTGAAGAGCGTTGCGTTTGTAATGCCGACGCTACGGTCATGCGCGTTCATACTAACTGAAATTATAATTTTTATACTAAATACAAAGTACAAAAAAAATTATATAAAAAAATCCATCGCTGTAAACATCTTAGACAATTTAATCCATCTTAAATTGACAATCATGCTTGATTTTTATTAACTCGTTAATTTCTGAATATTAACTTTTGTGACTGAATAAAGTTAGGCTTTATTGATATTATTTATTTAACTATTAATATTAATATTATATTAATATTATTTATTAATATTATTTATTATTTATTTAACAAATTATTACGCACTAGTTATCTCTCTGACAAACATAATAGTCTGAGAATCAAACTTACTACATATTAAAGATTAATAATCGAAATAATCGTTGAGATATTGTGACGTCTAATACATGTTAAACAGGAAAGCAATTTGCAGACGTTCTTACATTACCACCGGTTGTGTTTATAAAAATGTTATAATGCTAAAATACCTCGCTGAAATCTTAGTACATTTTCATTTTTATAAAGACGTGGAAAGTGTTTCGTAACAAAAACCATATTTTTAACTCTTTTTAATAACAAATCATGATATTAATACGTTAAGCCAAAACTTTGTCTTTTAATTTTCGTATTTCCGCTTTACTGACCCATCTTTAATCCTCGATTCAAAATTACCACAGAAAGTTTTACGTAAGCCTGTTACTTCGAAGTAGCGGATTGCACGTTCCAATTTAATATGTGAGCCTAATCATTCAATTAATCTCATCTTAAGTATCAAATGCAGAACGAAATTGGTAAATACTTTACGGAATCTCTTCTTAGATGTAAGGCTTCTAATTTGTGGTAATGTGTAGTATTGTAATTAAGTTCTACGTCATTTAAACACCGCTCCCATCAAACTACACTTTCAAGAGAGGGCTACAGAAAAAAATAGCCTTAATAAAAGAATTTTCTATAATTTAAATTAAACGTCTACAGCGAAAATCTTTTATACCTACGAGCTTAGTCTACAAATTAAATTTCTCAAAATGTTCGTACGATGTCCTAACTAAATAAAATCTGTATGATATAATTGTGATAATAATAACATTCAGAACTTTAACGGATTACAAAATGATTTATTTCTTTTGCGGTGTATTAAAACAATACCAATCAATCGTTATTATTATGACTTAAACGTGTTTCCAAATATACCTAATCTTGGACCATTTCCAACTATAAGTGAGATGAATGGCGTCGTCTTGGCATACGTATGGAAAAAAAGTTAACGTAATACGACTAAGTTGTGAAGGCCAAGGTCACGGTTTGTTCCTCCAAAATGGTGTTTGTTTTCGATATTGTTTTATTTTCATCAAACATAGGTAACCTTTTATCTTGTTCCTAACCTAGCACAATGGTAATTTCTGGTAACAATCCTACTACTCTTCTTGAAAAGTTAGTTATTCTTGAAAAATGATGATTTCTTGGTGTAATTATAAAATTACGTATTTGAAAAAAAATTAGATGGGTTATGACATTTGTTTACAATGTTTAGGTTATAATTTGAAATAGCCTGTAACAACTACCAACTATTAATGCGCTACTTTTTATGTCACTCAGTGTATGCTTTGCAGAACTATCAGGTAGTTAAAAAGGGAGCCAAAAATATGCTCTTTTTGTACTATTACAAAAATTATTTTCTTGAAAGTACGCCCAAGTTCATCCAAATCGAAGTATTGATGATTTAGAAAATCTGATTCTGCTTCTGATTTTTCTTTACGTAATAATTTAGGTATTAAAAGTCAATTTTCCATTTGAAACATATCAATTTAATATGACTATAAACATTACCACCTATTGTAAAATTTAAAAACCCAAATATTACATTGAACATATTAGGAATTATACAAAATATTTGTGACTGAATATAAAAATACAGGGTGTAGGTACAAAAAAACTGTTTATATAATGTTTTCTCTTTATTAATAACGCTCTGTACGGGAGGTCAGAGTGGACACCCTGACCTCAGTGGGGGGCTCGTATGGCGACTACTCAATGACAGTTTGTTCCTCTTTCACAAAGAATTCGACGACTTCCTCCACCGTGTTCGCTTGGTCTGTATCCAACCCATCCGTATCTACGTCTGGAAAAACAAAACATTGAATTAAAAATAAATACATCCACAGGTATGTTTCCACAGAGCTTCAAATTCTATTTAATTACGTATTAAAGGAAGGGGGGTAAATTTCCAGTGGGAACACCCAAATAATCATCAACACCCATGGACATCTGCAATACTAAAAGACCTCCAGATGCGTTGTCAGCCTTCGAGAAAATACGCTAGATTTCTTGAAGGACCATAAGTTGTAGCGGTTTAAAAACTGCCGAGGACAAATTCCACAATGCGGCTGTACGAGGCATAAAGTTTCGCGAAAACCGCATGGTCTATTCTATATATGGATCTACTACTGTCGCCCTACTTCTATTAATGAATGAATAACTACTATAATTAGCAAATGACTAACCATGTGACTGCTATAAACATAAACTGCAATACAAAACCCAGAGACAACGTAAGACAAATTCACAAAATAAAATTAATTAAAGGAATACTAACAGTCGCGCAACTCGAGCCTGCGCGGGCGCTGGTCGGCCCATTCCTGGGTCTTCGCTTCGCGGTATTCCACGTATTTCTTCATCTGCTCCGTACGCTTCGCCACCAATTCCTGTAACAATGAAAATATTCTACTTATTAGGAAATACTAAGATCCCTAAAAACAGATAAATATATTTGTTATTAAGAATACAGAATAGATTAAAGAACAGATTCTATTCAATCTTACTAATATAAATGTGAATGTTTAGATGGATGGATGTTTGAAAGTATCTCCAGAATGGCTGAATGGATCATGATGAAATTCGGCATACATATAGAACATAGTCTGGAAAAACATAGACTATTAATAAAGTTTTTCTTTAATTCCGCGCGGCCAGAGTCGCGGGCAACAGCTGGTTCTATATAAAAGACACAATATTGTTTCTATAACCAATAAAACATACCAAAAATACCTAAATTAATGAAAAATTAACATAGCGTAGTTAGTAGTATATCTTACCTTGCTAGCCTTGTTGCTACGCATACGATCTTTAGATTCAAACTGAGAGTAATACTTCTTGAGGTTCTTCTTGATCTCCTTCTGTTGCTTCTCAGAGAGCAGAGTTGGGGGTCGAGGTCGCCAATGGAACTGGGCAAAACCTTCCTTCATTACTCTGAAATAAAATAAAAATTAAAAGTATGTACTTAGAAATTTGTTCCTACGGGCAATTATGAGTAAAAATTTACAGTATATAACTACAACAAATTAACATAATAAGTAGACGAGTATCAGAGTTACAAAAATCTTTTTTTATGTGAATACTACATAATTTAGATCTAGGATCAAAATACTGTACCAAATATCTGACAAATAATTTAAAGTATTGATAATTAAACCAATTCACAGACCTACATATATTGTAGTTTACATTGCAGCTGGGAAACTAACACTTAAAATAATTACAATCCCAAATACATCCGTGAATATGACTTTATATTAATGTAACAAACTCGGGGACATATTTAAAAAAAAAACATTATTAATTTTATGATTTAAAATATCACAAAAGATAAAATATTGAGACTTACCTCTTAATAACTTTGCCCTGGAAGGATCTAATGTAGTATCCACAATCCATCTTACACTTGAGAGAGGATACACCTGTCACCACATACCGTCCTGTCGGGTCCCATTCAATACCAGACATCTGTAATAACAAACAACAATATGACAAAGCTATATGCCGAAGTCAATGTTAATCTGTACATATTATTAATCTTAGTCCTTTAATCTCAGGTACTTAGTTTAAAATGAACATTATTTTGACTAGTTTTGAAACTTAAAACTGGACTCATTCACTATTTAACTTTTTATAGTACAAATTTTACCTGATAATGGTCAGACACATTCATAATAGTAAAGTCATTTGTGTCCAAGAACTCCAAAGCACCACCCGTCAGTCCAAAGTTGGCTAACACAATAAACTGTCCCAATGGTGACCAGAACAAATGATTAAATGGTTTATTCTCAAACTTCTTCAACAAAGTCGGTGCTTGTCCAGTATTAACTTGATAGAAACTTATACATATATTTGCTGGATCACCATGAATAATCGCAAACTTAGAACCAACAGGTTCCCAAGCGAATGCTTGTATAGGTTCTTTAATTTCCACCGAGTCAACGGGTATTTCCTTCTCTCTCATATGGAATATTTCAAAGTTATAATACATTCCAGAGTATTTAATATCATTTTTATCTTTCTTCACTTTAGAATAACGGTCTACTTTCACACACAAGTAGTCTCCGCTCTTCTGCCAGTGAATCTTGCAGTCGGCAACAGAGAACAAGTTCTTCGATCGGATTTCATTACGATTGGGCAATTCTAATAATGTTACTCTCGCTGGTACATCCTTGTCTTCTGCTACCCAGTATGCTAGAACATTATCTGTTGGAGACCAGCTAAAGTCCCTGTGAAAAAAGAAAATTAACATAAGCAAAAGCAAGATTTTAAATTGTGCTTAAAGAAGACCATATTATGAAAACTTTGATGTGATTTATGAACATTTAAATTATTTTCTGCAAACATTTACTAGTTACATTTCAAGTACAAAAATATTAAATAAATATAATTACTTACCTAATACCAGGAATCTTTATAGATTTTTTATCCAAAAGACCGAAGCCAGGAGTTTCATATACTGACAGTACATCAGCACCCAGACGGGCAAAGAACTTGTCGTCTTTACTCCAGCGGAAGATTGGCCATGTCACATACTCATCCGGAGGTGGGAAACTACGTTTTTCTTGACCAGTTCTAATAAAAAAAATTACTTAATGTTATTAAACAAAATTTAAATTTCCTAACCTCTTACAAAAAACTTTTATATTCTGTATGGTTTCTATGTTCATTATTTTTTCTTGACACAAATACAATTTCTTTTAAACTACTACTGGGAACTCATAAATTTTTTACATAAAATCTTCAAATCTATGCAGAAGAAATAAATTTCACAATCACATACCTAATATCCCAAATAATGAGTTTCTTATCATCTCCTCTATCACTGCTTGGTGAGAAGGTGACAATATAATTCTCACATGGTGAGAAAGATATAAACCTCGCCTCCGGATGGAAGAACTTCTGGAACTGAGAGAACTTGGGTCCAGCCCATAGAGCCACACCCCTCCAGTGGAAAGTAGCCAGGTATGTACCAAGAGGTGACCAAACAGCATAAGTTTCAGTCCAGTTCTGGAATGGGAAACCAAATTTATTATTAAGAACCTCTTATCTCTTATATAGTAGGCTGAAAAGCTGTTTTTAATAATATCAATGTGATAATTATTATGCAAGAATGCAATTTTATCTTTAATAATGATAACTAGTAAATAAGATTACCACAACACAACTGGCAAAAGAATTTTGTCAGTTGTGTTTGGTGACAAAAGAATTTTGTGTTGCGTCTTAAATACTAGCACAGTCCATTCCTTAGAACCATAGTTCCATTTGTACCTTTGGAAACAACTAATGAATGTTTTGTAATTTTTTTATCAGAATTTTTATACTTACAGGTCTCTCTTGTAACAACACAGGTTCAGGCAAAGCATTTTGCCACACTTGTAAGGCAACCCCAGTACCGATTCCCACCAGGAACTGGTCATAGGCATCTGGGTCCATCAGGTACCATTGCAGGTCTGATTGTACCTTGAATGGTTGAGGTGCCGGTGGTTCCCATTCTTTAGGGATTTCGGAATATCTGGAAAAAAAATTTCATATTACTACTAACATAGATTAATTTAATATTAAACATGTATCAGATTATGAGCATGTTTGATTATTATTGTCATTTGAAATATTTTATACATATTGTATTTGCAAGAAAGAAAAACAATTTTTGTTTTTTAAACACAAGCTTTCAGCAGCAAATGACAAGTTAGCAGATAGAGTGTGTTACATTTGTGGTTTGAATTTAAAGTAAATGTATGTAAATTTAACATGTTTTCTCAAGACATTAGATGCATTCAAATTTTACCAAATGCAGACTTAAGGTATTTGACCTTAATATATTTAAGTTATAATAACGAAGTACTTACTTCTTAAAATCAGTAAATAGATTCACTAAAAATGTATGCTGCTTATCGAGTTTACAATTGTTAGTGGCTTTGACTGCCTCTGCGGCATTCTGTGCGTTATCATACTCCAGGAAAATATAACCAGTTGTCATGCCATTCTCGCTAGTCGGGTAATAATCACTGACGATCTTCCCGAACTTGCCAAAGATCTTATTTATAACGCTTTGTAACTTCTCCAGGCGCTCCGGCCCGACCTGCGGGCACCCATCCACGACGACCACATTTTCATACCCATCAGATTCCTTGGGCTTCTTCTCTAGAAGGTCCGCAAGCAATTCTGCAACGTCAAAGTTAGGTTATGCCTTGAGATGTCATCAACAACCCCAACACCAACTAAGAAAGTAATTCGTCTCCGAAATATGTGTGTTAACAACTTAAAACTTTGAACAGAACACTAAACACAAAATTTAAAACGAACAAACTTTTTATCACACAAATTATATAGTAACGCATATGGTCGGAACAACCTCTAAAACTTTTTAACTCTCACCTTCATCGGGTATGTCGTCAACAAATCCTTCCGGATCATCAAAGTCAGGTTCCTCGTCAAAATTCTGTTCTTCATTATCACTTTGAGGTGTTTGATTCACTTTTTCATCGCCCTTTTTCTTTGCCATTTTGACGTTATTACGTGTGGTACCGGAAGACACGCCATTAGTTAATGAACTAAAACCATAGAGAAAAGATCCGAACGTAACAAGAACGTAAGCGCAATGACTTTCTAAGTTTCGTTCACAAATAAATAGTTTAATCAAGTTCAGTTTTTCAGAAATTGTAATAAATTTTTTACAAAACCGAATTTACTACTTACATAAATAAAATTCGATTATCTTTTTAATACAAATCCCTATCGACAAAGCATTGTAGTAAAAGTATTTTTGATAAAAGGGTGAAACCATAAAGCAAAGCCATACCGAGGCGTGGCTCTGAGTTTACTGAACAGAGGAAAGAATAAACTTTAAAAGGGATCTTTGATTCCCGAGACCCCATCAAGTCCATCACCCCTCCCCATCCTTTCCTTATTCCAAAAAAAAGAGAAGGAAGCCTACAAAAATTCTCAACTTTAGATGGATGAGATTGGAGATGGAAAACAACTAAATCTATCGAACATACATAATATGTACAAAAATAACAATATGCTTCGTAATGGTGTTCCGGCGATGGAAACTCTCATGCAGCTGACTACCCAAATGATATAATGTAGCGTACGTATAGCTCACAATGGGCACGCGTGTTGTATTCCTTTTATACGACAGAAGGTCACAAAACAAACCGGCCGGATGTATTCAAACCTGTTGTAAATACGTATAATTTATGTAAAAGTAATGCGTTTAAGCCAATATGTTACTCTAACTCTACAAAAGGCATAAAATTGCTAACTTATAATATTACATAAAAGCGTTTATACCCTCAAATACTGATAATAGATAATACAAATGTAATGAAATAAAAGTGTAAGAAATAGTTAAGTACTTCTATGACTCTAAATATTGCATTTAAATCACATTCAGACGTTCATTCGTAATTTTTCGTACACATATTTAACTTATAAGGCATCGTAACACATTTTGTTGACGTCGTTTTTGCCTGCCGCTTGCGCTATGTTCGCCTCATTTTTCCATGCCAGCCGGTTTACATTTACCAATCAACAACCAGCCAGTGTGTTTCCCATAGCGGGCGGAAGACGTCGCGTTTCCCGCCACTTTACCATAGATAACTTTCACGAAAAACTATCCTATATTTTCCCGCGTAAAGGTATTATAAATAAATAACCTTTGTGCCACAAGTAAACTTAATATTTGCAATATTACATCATTTTTTTTTTATTTTGCTTCAGTTAAGTTTTGTGCTACATTTTGTGTTTAAGTTATTTGATGGTATAATCAACTTGCTAAGTGTACGAGTTAAATTTATTTATTTTTAAAATACTAATGAAAAATTGTTGATATACCTACTAATCGTATTTTAAATTTCTTTTTCAACAAAATAAATTTTAATTATTCAAAGAGACATCTTTTACACTCGGTTTGTTTGTCGTTTAATTTCTAATATGTTTGTGTTTTGGTAATAGTATTGTGCTTCAGTGAAAATGATTTGGACGGTGTTTGGTCTATCATTATTGGCATTCGCAACTGGTCAAGAAATATGTCTCTCGGGCGAAGAAGATCCTTATCTACTCTTCGGGACTAAGACTTCTTATATTTTTGCGAATAAAATATTTCCATCGACTAGGATACAAGATATTCCTGGTAAGTTTTATTTGTTCTTTTTTATAATTTTAATAATTTGAAGGTTGAACATCCAAATATTCCCGATTTGATTTTAATGACATTAATGTCACTGACTCATTTTTATTACTTACTACAAAATAACCTTGTAAAAACTTTTCTATGGGTTTGCATATACGTAAAGATAATCGTAAAAATCGGACCAATTAATTCTTTTACGCTTTACGTAAAGTGATTACATATTCTTCTACAATAAATATTAATATTTGGTACAAAATCTAAAACATCTTATTACAAGTAAGATACGATCTCATAAACATCTAGAGGCCAATTTTGCTGTATTTTACACATTTGCATTTGACATTTTACGATTACTTTCTTTTTTAATTCAACACAATTGGGCAAACGCTTTTACTTCAATCAATCCATTAAATCAAAACAAAAGAAAGATCGTATTTAACTAAAGTTGAGAACAACTGTCCAATACAACGGAACCTATGGTTATTGCCTTTGACTGTTTTATTATAATTTGGACATGGCAGAAATATTTGTGGTAAGTTATTCATTGCCTACTACATAACGGTTCAAACAATTGTTTTTAAAATAAGTAAATAATTGAGAAAATAGCACGTTTATGAATAAAGATAAAGCTTTTGAGTCCCATTAAAAGAAACCAGCTTTCACCAATTTAAACTAATGAGGTGATCAAAAGTACAAAGACAGACAGATCGTAAAAATCAGCACAGCATTTTACGTGTTAACTCCGTTAAACAAACACACGTCAAAATACTATCGTTTGCTCCAATACTAGGCCACTGGTTGACCACAAATGCAATATTGAATCATTTGTACATTTTACATATACTTCTTCTTCTTTTAGTTACTAGTGGACCCCATCGTTTAATTTCGATGATTTCGCCAACGTCAAGGTTGAAGGTAATTGAAAACGAAAAAAGGAAGATTAAAAGATTAAGTAGCAAAGAACAGAGAGATAGACGGAGTATAGATCTGTTTGACAAATGATCGGTTGATACATATACTTAATACGTATACTATGTTGAAATATAATCAAGTAATGCAGTGTTAGTGTGGATTTCCACTGTCATTTCTGAAAGGCAGGCGGATTTAAACGCGAATTAAATAAAAAACTTTACATAATAAAGACATATTTAAAAGTCGTAAATAAGGAAAAAACATTATTTTCTAGTGAAAAGGAGCTACTCTATGAATAGTTTTTAAAATGCTAACTATTAAAAACGTATATCCATGAGAATAATCAAACAAAACTCCATAAAAAGGATTCACTAATTCCACTACATGCATACCATTGTTAGAAAGGAAAGCTTCCTATCCCATACATCACACCATGAAAATATACTATAACGATACCTTTAAAACAATAGTGGGAGTTGACTCATAGCGCTCATTGCATTCAATGGAACGTTCGCGAAATCATTTGTGTTATTTTATGACGTCTTTATATGTTAATATTATATCTACTACATTCGATCGTGATATAATTATACGTCATATTTATCTTACTAATATTATAACTGCAAATGTATGTATGTATGGATTATTCTTAGAATGTATCTCCAGAACAGCTGCATGGATCTCGCTGAACTTTGGCATAAATGTAGTACACAGTCTGGCAGAACACATATGCTACTTACGAAGATTTTTTTATGAAATCAGTTCTTAGATATTTTAACCTACCTTTTATCACAACCTATATTTATGGCCTAACCGAGAATATGACAATCCTTACCCGGAGACGATTCAAACACCTGATATTGACATATTTTTCCGCAATATAGCGAAGGTTTCTATATTCCTTGTCAGGCTATAACTAAGCTTAAATGTAGGTTTCCACTGCTACACGTGTACAAACATCTCTATTTGAGAAAACAGACGATTTTATCTATCAAATATAGAGAATGAGACGTTGCAAAATGGTTTTTACAAGTATTACAATGGAAATCACGACAAGGGAGGCATAGTCTGGTAATCATTTGCCCAACAGCGTTATCGAGTTAAAGTAACTGTAAATCAGTCATAGCTTTATTACTTCATAAGTTTTAACCGTTGTTTAAATTGCATTTAATGTCTTCCTTCTCTAGAATTCTATTAGTAATTTCTGCTATTTTATGATAGAAGTCTTATAATAAACTAGTTGTAACCCGCAACTCCGTCTGCGCGAAATAAAAAAATTAACTAGTAGCGTATGTGTTCTTTCAGAATATGTTCTACATTTATGCCAAATTTCAACGAAATCAGTACACCCATTCTGGATATATCTTCAAAGAAACATCCATCCAAACATTCGCATTTATAATATTAGTAAGATTTTAATGCCATTCTAAAATTACTGACTGAAAAAAAAAAATAAAAAACGTCTTAAAAGAATGCTTATTAACTATAACAAATGGGGTCAACTAAATCACCATGATAATAGATTTATAATCACTTCATTACCTCAGACAAGGCTGACCTAAATGCTCAAGTGTGCACTCAACCACTCCGAACAGGCACCCTGGCACGGGGTTGCATATAGAATATTATACTTCAGTGGTTTAACACCGCTTTTATTTCTCACATTTACATAAATTAAGCGTAACATGTTTATTACTGAAGAACCGTAGGTTTTCACTGGCAAAATTTGTACAAAAAGATTTATCTCAGCGTAGAGCTAGGAGTTTTCGGCAGTAGAAACTAACTTTTAAAATATTACATGACATCTTAATATAACTTACAACGACGGTTCTTTTAAGGCACTACGTAATATTGATGATTTTATCAGAAATTAATCTTATAATAATCTTGAAAGTATTGATTGATTGCCATCCATCATATGCAAGAAGGTATGTCCAGAAAGTCTCAACGATCTTAATAAAATTTGGCACAGATGTAGAACATAATCTGAAAGAACACATAGACTATTTATTAAGTTTTTAGGGTACCGTACCTCGAAAGAAAAAAAAGGAACCCTTATAAGATCAATTTGTTGTCCGTCTGCCTGTCAAGACCCATTTTTAAATTTCGCGCGGAATCGCGGACAACAAATTACACACTGACGTCACTAAAACAGAAATCTTAATAGTGGATTTGAAGTTTGCTTAGTATTTAACTTAGTAATTACCATGTTATGAGTGCAATAACATCAGGTGTTAAACGATGACCTCAGATCTCAATGAATAGGGCCTATTAATGCTCATCATGACCTTAAGAGCCATTTGCACTTATACATTGATGGAGATTGTTTCCTTATGATTCAAAGATTGAATTTATCGTCAAGTACTTGATATAAGAAACTGTTAATTAATATTCTTAGTACGATAATTGAAACATCTACATATCTTGTTTAAGGCTTTCATACTAAAAGTGATACCCCATCAAGTTTGCTCTTGGTTTGTATTTTGTCCAATTTACAAAATCATGCAACTAAGTTTTGTCGCCCGCGACTCCGTCCGCACGAGATTAAGAAAAACATAATTAGTAGCCTATGTGTTCTTCCAGACTATGTTCTATATGTGTCCCAAATTTCATCGAGATCCATGCAGCCGTTCTGGAGATAACTTCAAACAAACATCCATCCATGAGTTGATTATGATTTTTTTTCATATCTAATGTTTAATAACTTTTATTTGTTATCAGGTTGTCAACCGATCGCGATCTGGTTGCTGAGCCGGCACGGCTCTCACAATCCCGAAGCGAATGAAACTGCTGGTCTGCAAGCACTCACCGATCTCAGAAATAACATCCTCACCAACTATAGAAGTGGCAACTTTAGGGATACAAATGTAAGTCAGTTAATTCTATACGTGTACTGGCTATCGGTCCAAAAAAATGTCTTATACCAGACTGTAATCTCTTTTCCATATTTAATCCGTATCCATTCAGCTGATATATAAACACACACACACAACACATTTCCGTATTTATATATCAGTTTAGTATAATGTCTCACGAAAGTTTGACTAATTCTATATCCATTCAGTTGTTCTGGAGTTACGTGGTAACAAAAATTAATACATCCATCTAAACTTTTTTATATTTAGTTACATTTTATTTTTGTTGTGGGTTTCCAATGAATGTTACGATGCCTCTCTCAGTATACTTGAAAAAGAAAACAGACTACAATTTGCTATAAAAAATTAATTAAAGCAGTGGGAATCGAACATCCACCTATATCAGCACATTTTCTTCTATATACCAAGTACTAGAAAGTACTTTTGAAAAAAATCAATACTATATGCGTAAATTATAATAGAAATAGAAAATTTAAGTTAACCGCTAGATCATGGGATCGTAAAATACAAAAAATCAAGTAATATATACTCAATTTGAAATTTTCATTGCAATTTTTTATTTGTTCATTTAACGTGACAATGTCTAGTGCACCTTGTCCTTGTCGTAAAGGAAGTTTATATGCAATCGAAACACGTATTTCGCTTGCAAAGACCTTGGTCGGAACCCTGAGTTTCCGTGCATGTTTCTGAGGATGTCAGCGATAAATAACCTGATGTTAACATAAATTAAATGCACGCGAATTCAAATTCGCACTAGAAAAGCAGTGGCACATTATTCAAAAGAAAAGGTCTCACTTCTTACCTAAATATTTATGCAATACGATCGTCATTAACTCACTATAAGTCCCCTCTGAAAGGCTTGGACCCTACCCTAAGTTAAGGGTGACTAAGCCATAGTCAACCACGCAGGCCCACTGCAGGTTGACTTCACACATATCTTTGCTAGATATGTGTTGGTTACATCACGATTTTTTTCTAAACTGTAAGAACTTCGAATAAATCTTATATATAAAATTCTCATGTCACAATTTTCGTTCCCATACTCCTCCGAAACAGCTTGACCGATTCTCATGAAATTTTGTGAGCATATTGAGTAGGTCTGAGAATCGGCCAACATCTATTTTTAATCCCGCGCGGACGGAATCGCGGGCGACAGCTAGTGTACCTATGTAAATCGAAAATCACATTGGTATATGGCGGAATTCGAACTCAGGACCATTACAAGTCAAGTGGTTAACTGAGCCACTGACGTTTTTAATGTAAATTGGTCAGTAATGTAACATTGAAATAAAATTATATACTATAAAATACATATGTATAACATTGATTTCAGAAATGTGCTTATACATTTATAAGAAAACTCGATTGGAACGCATGTACTAGGTTATCGCATGACATATTTAAACAGATGTAAATGTTATAATACTAATCGTATGCCTTAGTACTGAGTCACCTGTACAAAGATCGATAATAAGAAAATACTGTTATGCAGAAAGAAAACAATATTTTACCTCAATATGTTGTATTCTTATTATTAGCAAGACCTATTTTTCTACAGTTCTAATTATTTTACCGTTAGTTTCCGAAACCAAAATCTGTGTACAAAACATATCGCCATCTTATCTTTTTAACGGAGATTATAATCTTAGAAACCCACGGTTAGTTCTTTTTATAGATCTTTTAAAAACGTTATATACTTCACACGCATTTTGATAAAGGTCAACTGAAAAAAGTCACGTCTTCTCATACGAGATAGTGCAATAAAAATATTGTTTTCCAGCAACGCATCTGCTCTTCAGACCTGAACCTTCTAGAGCGGTGGTCGTGGTCTCCCACTGACCCGGCTCTGGCAGGTGACCTAACCAGCGAAGGCTATATATCCACGCAGCAGCTCGCACAAGCATGGAAGCACAAGTACCCCGGACTCCTCACTGACAACCCACATGATTATCTGGTAGGTCTTTTCAAATATCTTGGCATTACGTCGTCTGCATACCATTTTACCTAGCCCTCTCCCATCCCATTTTACCTAAATAGTTACACCTTACATTGTGTTCTGCGCAACGACTCGTCAGAGTTTTTATGACTAATGTATTCGATATTTAAATCAAATCCTATTTTTCCGACTTATATGGTAATATATTATATGTTTAGGTATAACTTTAGCAGATTTTTGTTAATTTACTAATATTTCTTATACCATTCCAAGTAAACTCTAGGTTTGTAATAGGATATGGTTACGACAATAGTTGAATGACGGGATTCGAATCCCGACCTCGTGATCGCAAATCCTGTCCGTAAAAGCTGTTGGTGATCTCTGGAATGTTATGTTTATGGAAATTAAAAGTTTAGACAAGTTACTATGTTTGGTTTGCTTACATCACATGGGGACATGCCAGCACGTATTTTTACTGCGTATGAAAAGTGCCTTAGTGTTTGATTGCGAAGTAGATTTACTAAAATTGGAAATTTAAGTAATTGGTATTAATCTTTTTAATGCAACTAATGCAGGGTACACACGTTAGATGTGTTGGTTTAAACCTGCAAAGTTTAAACTCTACTTGCCCTGGGCAAAAATTCTAGGGCGCGCTTTTTTACCATACTTTTGGGGGTTTAACATGGTTATGTGAGACTGGGCAATTCGTAGATTTCTGTCGCCGCTTTCTTTCCAGCGCCCTGGGCGGGTACCCAACAACGCCCTACCCCAACGCCTGTTGTAATTTATAGGCTGTAATTCCTATATAAGTTCAATATTCCAGTTTAAATACACGGATGATCTTCGTTCGAGCACCAGTTTCCGTGCATTCACTGAAGGCCTGTTCAAATCTCAGGCAGACGGTACTGATGCACCAAAACAGAACGATGAGAAAATATTACGAGTAAGAATATTTTATATTACTTATTATATTTATAGTGGGTTTCTGAGACCAAAATCTGTTTCGTCAAAGATGATAGGGATTACGATATGTTTTATACAGATTTTGTGGTCTCAGAAACCAAAGGTTAATTGCTTTATTTGTTTTTTTTTAATTGTAATAGTGAATGGAATTTGGTATTCCAAAAACTAAAGATTCAATTAGTAAATTATTATTATATTTGAAGGATTTTAATTATTAACAAAATTTATTTAGCTATATTTTTCTATATGTTGTATGTTTTCAGCCATACAAATTCTGTTCAACATGGATGAACGAAGTAGGAGATAACAACAACACCTTAGTACAAAAAGGTACATTTGAATCTAAACAAGAATATAGAGAGGTGAGTTTTAAATATATATATATTACTAATATTATTAATGCGAATGTTTAAATGTATGTTTGTTTGAAAGTATCTCCGGTACGACTCCATGGATTTAGAAGAACACATAGGCTATTCTTTTTTTTATTACGGCGCGGGTCGCGGGCGACAGCGAGTACGTAATGACCACCATGTTGTTTATATTTGAATATGGTATGAAAGAAATACGAGATAACACGTTCAGAATACTTCTAATTCCTTTTACATTCCTGTGAATTATTAGAATTAAAAATATCTCATAAAACTGTATATTTATAATTAACTTGTGTCTTTACCTTACTTTTTTCTTTTAATAATCACGGTCACGGTATCACAGATCTAATTAGACTGATTACTGACACATTTTAAGCGTGTAATTTTACACTGCTTGGTTAAAATTTCAGAAGAAAACTTTTTTTATATACCAGCTTGAATAAAATTGTTTTTTTTTTTTAAAAAAAAGAAGAGTAAAGGCCTTGTATTTTTCTTACTTTGAACAAATTAATAATTTTTGCCACAGTTTTTTGTGAGACCGTAAAATTTGTAGTTTTAGACTAGTGATCGACCAAGACATTGTCGGCGTCGAATTAGAAATGAAACAGCCTATGTTCTATAGATCCGCATGCATCAGCTTCTTTCAAACTTCCTGCAAAATTCAAACCGTTTCGGAGATTCTAAACAAACACAAACAGAATAAATTGAATATTTTTTTCTTTTTAAATAAAGCAAACACAACATGTACAGTCAGCGTCATATAGATCGTCACAGACAAGATATGCAAATATATAGGTACACCAAAAGTAATCAATTATATCGGTACAACAAAAGTCCTCAAAATAATAGATACATTCACCCTGCTCAAATACATCGGTACATACACAGCGTCAAATATATGAGTACATGCAAGATGCTCATAAATATCGTAGCAGCCACAGCGTCATAAGTAACGAAGCAGTCAAGGTGCGCAAAAATATCGGTACATTTGACAAAATTGAACTCTATCTCTATGTCCTTGTGATACAATTTGGAATAAACTACTTCTGTTACATTCATTTGACACTTTGTATTAACATTATAGGTTGTCCGGAAAGTTCGTTCTGATTTTCGATATAAAGCTTACAATAGACTGTAGCTGAAGTGGATTCATTTTCGGATTTCCACCATTATCAAACGTCACAAAAATTTCTATATTGTGAATAATTTCATTTAATTGGTTGAGATAAAAACTAATTTTTAAAATTTTAGCCAAAAATAAAAGACGTTTTAGGTATAGAGTCGTACCAATATAATTTAAAAACATTTCTAAAAATTTAAGAGAACAGGGTTTCAATTTTCCTTATAAAGCGGCACGAACTTACTGGGCAACCCAATATTTTTC